AGGGGGGGGGGGGGGGGGGGGGCGGTGTTTAACCGCCTGGCCTCCAGATTTACCCAAAGGGGAGGCGGAAATAGTTTGGAAAAAAATGATGTACTACTACCTCACTTAAGAGAATAGCATACCAAGATAACTAAGGTGAAAAAACTTTAAACATGGCAAATACTAGGAAAACCCAAAATCAATCCTAAGCAGTCCTACAATTTTTCTCTTTAACTCTTCAGCATGGAATATCTTCTCCTGGAAAAGAAAAGAGAGAGATCATGGAGAATAATTTTCTCCATACCTCAGCATTCTAATGTTCAACAAGTTTGAAGTCACCCTCTTGTTGTGGACTCAAGTTTACCTAATTGTTTTCTATCCTTGAACTTTTTCATCTCTAGGTTTGCTATTATGGGAAGCACTATCATTGTTTTGCTTACAGTCACGATCATGAACAGTGGATCATGTATGATGACAAAACAGTAAAGGTATAATTGCCTTACTGTTGCTGTGTATTATATCGTTCTTTCTGTGGTAGTTTGTCATTTATCTATACTTCATGTCTAGGTGATTGGTGGCTGGAATGACGTTCTTATGATGTGTGAGAAAGGACATCTACAACCCCAGGTCCTCTTTTTTGAAGCTGTAAATTAACAATCTTTAAGTTGATATAACGAAGATATGGGGTTCAGCATTGTCTTGAGCACGGTGATGCACTGACAAATACTGGCCGTGCACTGAGCCGAGCTTGCAAAAGCTATACTTATGGAACTTACAATGCTGATAACAAGCTCAGAATTGTATTATAAAGTCAAAATTTCTGTTATATAGTGAAGAGAAATAGGAGCAGTTACCTATAAGAGACTAGGAAAATATGAAAATGTTTTATTTGAAGATTGGAAAAATCAGAAACAGGTTTTGGTGCCCATGATACTGAGGGATGGTGAGTCTACATGGGGTTTTCTTCAAATTCTGGCATCTTTCCAATCTGGTATGGTCGAAGACTGAGCCGTGAAAAATAACCACCACCTGTGTTTTTTGTTAGAGCACGTGAAAATCAATTTCTCAATGGGAACTATCCTGGATGGTTGATGGATACTACAATTGTACATAGGAAATTCTTGTACTTAGATTCAAATCTCTATTATTTTTCTGATACAAGGAAATTATGTATAGACCAGATCTTGACTCCTTGGGTGAGTTACCTGTGGCCTAGGTACGGCTCTTTCTCAGTTTTCGATGGGAAAAATTTTGCGCTGGTCGATGTCAAACGGTCTTCAATGTTATGATATGACGTTGATGTTGGCAAAATGAATGATATGAATGTACTTTTGATCTGCTTTAAGGTTTTGAATTGCAACTTTCTGAGTATGTGGTTGGATTTAATGCAATAGCATGTATGTATGTCATGGTTTGATTTTCTCAATTTTAGAGGGCGACAAAAGTTATTATTCCTTGTATTTCTCATTTTATGAAAGCACGACAGCTTTATGTTTAAGATTTTCGACTGCCCATCTTGATCTTGAAATATACTGTTATTGAAAATTAAACCATCTTACATCCACACCGTGGCATTCACATTTTGTCTAAGCCCTCAACCAGGTTTCATTAGCTGATCGAGCCTTAGGAATACAACTAGAAGGATTGGCCTGCCACGGACTTTGGCTGCCACCAACTGCGCCTCAGCCGGC